AATAATTAAAGCTTTCAATTTAATACGTGTACATCGTTTATTAAAAATATAAATATCATATAAGTATGTGCATATTTAAATATGTCTTTATTAACCATCATGATATTAGCATAATAAAATCAGTCTTTGAAAATGAATATGTACAAAATGTGCATACTGATTTTTTTTTTAAATATTAACAAACTTTTTCATGTTAAATGATTTTTGTGTGTGTATTTTTTATTTTTAATAATTTTGTTTTAAATAGTTCCATCTACTATATAACAACAGAAACCACATGAATATAAGTTTTAAAGCTTGCACAAAATTCACAAGAATCAATCAAACTTTAAAAAATTTTCACCAAGATTTCGAACTTTTTATTCAGAATCTTTAAATGATTTTCGGGTATGCAGTTTTGTAGCCAATTAAATTTTAGTTTAATAAGATGCAGGTTTCAAGTCGCTAAAAGCTACCGTTGATTTTTTAGAATTTTTTTTTGTGGAGTGTGTTGCGCATTTTCTTCCATATAAAATGCTTGTGAACTTTGTGCTCACACGAGCGCCTTGGCATATGCAACGGATTTATGTCCATTAGTGGCAGCACAGTTAGTGAATCGCACAATCGTTACTGCAGACAACAAAAATTGTTAGCTGACAACTCGACAAGTCGCATTGTTAAAAGTTAGTAATCGCACTAATCGCAGACCGCCGCGACGCTGGGCACTTTCAAAATTGTATACTTACAAATCCGTCCATTTAACTTGCTCATGTACTACTTTACTTTTTTGTCAAATGTAACTGGGTGACCTACATATGTGCACTATTTTGCTTTATTACTCAAATTGTTAAGTTTAAAAGTTGGTCTTATTGCTCAACGAGAAATGAAATAAAGCAAATTTCTGTTATTTCACATTTAATTGGGAATTGTGTTATTTCACGTAAATATGCGCGTTTCTACAATCGGACCATGGCAACATGGGGTTTATCTATATCAAACGTTAAGCAACTTTATTTTCTTCACTTTGATAGAATAATTGGACGTCGTCCCCTTCTTTACTTGATTTTAAAAATTTACTATTCTATATGTCAAAACACGTCTTTTCTAAGCATTTCGAGTTGAAATATTCATAAAAGTAATTTTGGCCGCATAAATCGGCCAAATACCCCTATGTGGGACGCTAATTTACGCAAAATTGATACTAACACAATCCCTTAAAATAAGTAAATAATTTTGGAGAGTGGGCGTGATACCGCCCACATGTAACCGTATAAGTTTATCTCATTAAGTATAACTGAACATACTATCGAAATTGTTAGAAATAGGGATAAAACCACTCTTCCTACCATGTAACGGTAGTTTTCAGAAAGGTGAAAAATTATATTTAACACTTGCGCCGGGTATTTAATGTTCGGCTCCACCCGTCTTAGACTTTTTTACTTGTCTTTTTTTATTTTTTTCTCAAATCAAAAAAACTTCATAAGTTCTCACTCAAAAGGGTATCCATAAAAGTCAAATGAAAGAAAACATTATGATAATAAATTACCAAATAAGTGTACCGAAATAACACACTTTATATTATTTTACTATGCTTATGGTCGCCACTTCAGTACCTTCCGAAAACTTTTTTCGAAAGCTTCTCAAAAGACCAAAAAAAAGTGGGATTTGTAACTATTTAAATCAATAAATACATTTGACTGTGAGTTAATACTTAAACATTTATCGAAGCTCCGATTGTTTCATTTTCTTGTTGTATATTTTTAATTGAAAGAAACTTGATAATTTCATTCGATGAATCGAAAATATCGATGTTTTTATATGAATCGATGCTATATTTCGATGCATCAAATGGAAAAAAACATCGATGTATTTTTTTGACTTGCATCGCTGCTCAAAACCATGTAAACCAGTTTTACGCGGTTACGAGGCATCTACGCGTTTCCATGAATACCCATAAAATGTCTAAGTATTGTCGCAGAAATTTTAAATATAATGATACACAGTTTGTAAAATTGTAAAACTTATTGTTAGTTTCGAAATAAAGATTCAATAAATACATACAGATGCAAGAATGATAGAATACAAGATTGCGCCGTCCTGGCGGCGATGACATTTGTGTACCACAAGTAAACAAAGCCGAATTGGATGTTAAAGGTAAATGTCAGAAAAGCTAAGTTTCTTAATATTCAATTTTTCGACAGTGAACGTGTTTTAATTGTGCTAAATTGTAAAAATATATAATTTACAATAAGAATTAGTAAGGAAAATGTGAAAATATGGTGATTTTTGTGTAAGTATTAGTGCATTTAAAGTTTCTGAGGCGAGGCGTCGTTTACTTGTAGACCAGAAATGCCAAAATCGGCAAAACCAAAGTAGCGGTATGTCGGACGGCGCCACCTTCGTTCGCTGCATCGTAATACATATCGCCTAAATCGCCGTTGTGGCAAAAATGAGATTTGACAACCCCGAACTCCATGCATCGAGATTTATGCATAAAAATCGTAAAATCGTTATTAAAACAACCGATTTTTAAAGTAATAGCCAGAGAAAATACCGCCTATCAAGGCAATGCCTGCAAAAAAAAAAGTTTTTTCGCTCTCCTGTAAAATTTGTGTGCCGTAAGATAGGCGGTTTTGCAATTGGTCGATGGGCGGTTTTGCAACAACATCAACGATATGTATATAAAAAAAAAAACAAGAAAAAGTATATTCAATATCTCTGATAAAACCGCACAAAAGGAAAACACAAAACAATTCCTTTCAAGCATTTTAGATCTAACTATTTGTAGAATGATTTGATAAATTAAGTAACCATTTCTTGTGATTTTGCGTGAGTTAAGTCTAGCTAAATCAGTTATACTAAAGTATGTGAGATTCACGACATATTCGTATAAATTTTCAGAACAATGATACCGGATGAAAATTTAATATGGTGCCCAGAACAATTGATGACAGCCATATTAGCACATGTTCATTATCTGCCCTCTCATTGGAAACACAAGGCCCATACTGCTGCTGTGAGAAAAGAATTTGAAAATTTGTTCCAATTCAAGGCGGTAAATTGTTATATGTTAATATTTCGAAAATGATTTCTCAATATTTTAATATCAAACACACTTTTAGGGATATCTGCTGAACGAAATTTTTAGCCCTCTTATGACACCATTCATTTTGATGTTTGTATTCCGACCAAGAGCTTTGGAGCTGGTGAAATTCTTTAGAAGTTTTACAGTCAGTGTAAAAGGTGTTGGAAACGTGTGCTCATTTGCTCAAATGGATGTGCGAAAACACGGTAGTCCAGATTGGCAGCTTCCTAAACCTAACACAAAACAAAAACGAAAACTGGATGAACAAGACAGAACTGCCAAGAATGAAGTTGACAATGGAAAAATTGAACTTTCATTAATTCGGTTTACTTTGACCAATCCGGAATGGAAAGTTCCACCCGATGCTGTTAATTTTTTAAATGAAATCAGAGAACATGCTGCGGAGGACCTGCGAAACGCTATGGAAAACGAAACGGAAAGCAAGCCCAACCCCATAACGGAAAGTTTAATTTCGTTTGGGACAATTGATGCTGAGGTATTTATACAATACAAATAGTAAATATTCTGGAAGTAAGATTTTATGTATATACATTTTTTAATAAGTGACCATTTTGGAAGAAAGCCTTTGATTTGAGCATAATTTTGTAGTTTTGTGGGCCGTAGGTCAACTTAATTAATTAATTAGGAAAGCTAGATACATAGTAAACACTTTTTTTGATTCAAAACATAATTGCTCGCCCATGATGATTTTTAAGCCGGAAACGCAGTTTCTACACACAACGCGTCAGATAAGTTTTCATGTTTTATCGACACCGAAATATTCATAAATTGTTAATTTAATGTAAATATACAGAAAATCTTTGACTTAAACTAAAATGTAACTGAGGAGCTCCGTAACATATTGCAATAATTCCACTTAAAAAGTTTCTTAAACAATTATGAAATAAAAATCACCGCCAAATAGATACCTATTTCTTTATAACACCTATGGTATTTAAGAAGAATAAATTGAATAAAAACCGGAACTTTTAGTCGCTAATTTTTAAGCGAGCGGCTCATTTTAATCTTCTGACATATCAGTCGCTTAGAACTCCAAATAACCATTTAATCTATGGTACTATAATGGTGGTATTAGGGCTGTGCGACTATTCGATTGCTCGAGTAAATTGATTAATCAGTTATTCGGTTAATCAATTACTCGAGTAATCAAGATTTTGATTACTCAAAATGATGATTAATCGAGTTACTTAAAATATGATTACTCAAAAAAATTAATTTTGCTCGTTAAAAGAGTTTGCTTTGGAAAATGCTAATTTTTTTTTTTACAATCTGTATATGAAAAAAATATCTCAATTTCTCAAGGAACTTCAACTACTTTATATGTAAAGAGTACTTTGAAATGTTGATTACTCATTTTACTCATAGTGTTGATTAATCATAAAGCAAATTACTCAAATATTTTTGTTTTTGGCTGATCAAAATCTTGTTTACTCGAGTAACTGAACTTTTGAGTAATCATAATTTCCAATTAATCGAATAATTGATTAAGTAAGATTAATTAAAATTTTGAATAATCAATTAATCGCACAGCCCTAGGTGGTATAGTATAGTAAAGCATAGTTCACTCAAAATCGGTACGCATGAAATGGGTTATATCTTTTTGATAGATTTTCAGAAAATAATATTTAATATATTAAAATAAAGGGAAAACATTCCGTTATCGATACATGTTAGCGAAAGTTTCATATTTTGCTTGGATAAATAAATAAGAGACAATTTCTTTGATGATGATACAATTTTTCTGAACACCCGTTCTAGAGACTTGTGTAGTCAACTTGCTCTACTAAACTATCTTTAGTTTTGGTTTTTCCACAGCTTGCACATCTCTACTAATTCTGTTTTAAATAAATACGATGTATTTTTCGATTTGACTTAGATAGGTCATATTCGTAAATTGATGACTTCCAGAACTTAATTCACATCATTGGCTTCAAACCGATTTAAAGTTACCTGTGAATAATTAGTTTTCATAAAAACCAACCAACACTTAACAAAAGGTCTAAAGTAAATGATACAATGAAATAACACTTTACGCAAGCGCTCCTTCCAGCATATTTCTGGGGTCATATGACCCATTGTGGAGTCTGATCGAGTTTTAATGAGACTGCCTCGATTCTCTTGTCATTTCATAGCCCTTTGACAGCTGTGTCAACTTTTATAGATTTAGTTGTAAAAGGATATCACCCTGTTTCTTTTTAGCTTAAAACTTTTAACGTGGGAGTTAACCGAAGTCCAGTTTTAAACATGTTTTATTAGTCATTATTATAAAATGCCACATTTGGTGAGAACATTGGGGTAAAGTAAACGGGTGCGGTTTTTGTTATAAAATGTATTTAATCTAACAGAATTTTATATATTATAACTCGATAAGGTTTAAGTCTTGCCATAGCTTGCATTCGCTGAACTGGGGATAATCGTTTTCCAATTCTCTCGCGCGATCTTCTTCTGATAAGCCGTTTTTTTCCTAATTGAGGTAAAGATCCGTATCCTTAAGCTGGCACGAAATGATGTCTTTTAATGATTAGGTTACCCCGTTAGTTTAAGCAGAAGGAATCTATTCATTGATTTTTGGGGGATAATTATAAGTTTTTGGTATATTTAATTTTAATTTGATTTTTGATCTCGAAAATGTCGGATTTTCAACGAATTTGTTCAACATTATTTTTTGAGCAGCAACTTCCAACGCAAATAAAACTGTCAAATAAAAAGCCAGTACTATGAAATTTATACCTCATAATGGTAGATCTGTTGTCTAACGATCTGCATTGCAACTTTTTAATACATTCCAACAATTGCTGTACAGAATTTGCTGGAGCGATGCTTTATATACATAGCTGAATATAGACTTTAATATGTGGGTAAGGCTTCCTCAAGTGGGCCCTTTACCAAGATTAATATTTATCAATGATATTCAGGCAGCACCGAGTTTTGTAGTCGAAAATTACACTGTGTACAGTGCACTGTGTGCCAGCGCACCCTGGCAAATAAAAATTCATTCCGACCAAAGTATATCGAAATGCACGAAATGTTTATTACAGAAGTTGCTGCTAAAAATTTTCGTCCACGAAGCGCAGAAACTGCTTAAATGTTCAATTTTTCATAAAAAAGTATTGAAAAGCAAAACAAAAATTATTTTTTGTAACGCAAATAATTTCATTGTATAGTTTAATGTTTTTTAAATCTGAACCCAAAAAAAATGTTCATTCGGACAATAAACACTGCAAAATTTTTCAATTGTTGATTAAAAAGAAACTATTTGGAATCTTTCAACAAAACTTACACAGTGTACTTTTTGAATACAAAACTCGGCGCTGCCTGAAATCATTGAAAAATATTAACATTGGTAAATTCGGGGCACACTTGAGGAAGCCTTACCCATGTAGTAATATATTCCATCAAAAACCTAAAAAAAAATTAAGGTATTAATGGGTGTTGTTATGAAACTCCTAGTATATTGTCAGTACTATGCGTCCTTGTTCTTACAATATTTCATATTATTATTAACAAAATTATGTTTAAAATCCAAAATAAATTACGGAATATTACATAAGCATACAAAATCAGCTGTTAAAAAATACTTAGTTCTGGAGAATAAATCGTAGTTAGGTCGTACGCTATATGTATGCTGAAGGCTTATTTTAAAACTTTACTTTTGCAGTACTCTTCGTTGGCAAGTTCTGTGTTTCATGCTCATAATGTCCAAAGGGCTGAATTATTGACATCTTCGATAAAGCATTATTTTAAACCGGATAAATCGCAATACAAAAAACTGCATGCCACACAAAATATTCCTCAAACCAGTGGCTTTGAGCAAATGCTCCAGCAAAGCCTTGGCGAGCAAGAAGCAAATATGCTGCGGTTGCAGACTTCGTGTCTTAGTTCGTTAGAAAATATGCGTAAATTGCGTATTAGCAAGGTAGAGGGACGTTTGCAAGGACCATCAGAAGCACTGTTATATAAGTAAGTTAAAATATAGTGAAATAAGGCTCATACAGTGTCGTAAAAAATAGCACAACATTTTGGCCTGTTTTGACTTTTTCCTTTTGTTTGTTAAATATTCATTAATTTTTTATAAAAGTATAACAAAACTCCCCTTGTGTGACAACATCAAGGCACACGCCACAAATCGGAGGTGAAACTCGGCCAAACACTAACATATTGTGTAAGCGTCAATCTATTATTATCATTAAAACAAAACCCATATAAATAAAAACTCCAAACTTTGTACAAAATTTAAAAAATTCAACAAATTTCAAATCTTTTTAGTCAGAATTCTAGAATAATTTTTGGTAGGCAGTTTTATAGGCCACTTTAATGGCAAATGCTCATTTTCCCCGAACCGGTTCTCTTTTCGTTCCCGTGTATTCACTATGAGCGGATGAAAAATTTTCTGCTGAATTTTTTTCGGGCGAAACTCATGATAAGGAAGTATTTCTCATAATTTTTCTTGACAACTTTAAACTAATCTTATATGGTTAAAAAAAAGCACAACAGCTTCAGCAATTATTAAAAATCAATGCGAATTCCTAAGGGGCCCATTCAAGTATGTATTGCGTAAGCTAATTTTCAGTCATTTTTAACCGCTCCCTCCGTCTTGTCAGCAAAAATAAGCAAAGTTCGTACCACCCCTCTCATATGCTTATATAACATTTTTTTCTTTTTTTAAACCTGTTAATGTTTATTTGTTGGTAGTCATGAAATTCACGTGCAAGTGCATCCTAAATAATTTAACGTACATTTGATATTTGTATAAATTAGTATACTAAATTTATTAGAAATATCAGAAAAATAAATTAATATGTAAATATTAATAGCGCAGTCATCATCCAGACCCCCTGTCTCTTGCTATTAAAAATAAACAAACCAAACCGCCCCCTATTGTTGGTTACTTAATACTTCAATGGCCTCTAGTCAACTCAAACTTGCCTTTATTGTACAAAAATTGTAATTTAAAAAGTTTGCATTTTTGGTGAAAATTAGTTGAATTTTTGTGAAAAGTTTGTAATGTGGATTTATATGTATATGTATAAACAGCTATACTTTTGTGAAAAATTAAGAGAAATTAAACAAAAAAAATAGTAAAATTTGGTCAAAATGTAGCAGGCTTATTTAGTTGGCACCAGAGTATATATGTAACATTAATTAAACAATTTTTATTCTTTCCCTTACAGCTTATATGGAATCGATACTAAAGTTTCGAATCCCATTGACATCACAGTGGCAGATATGTGCCTAAGCACTCTATACTTGCACGAAATACATAAAAAAAATGTAAGCTCAAAAATACTTACTATGCACATTGTTAATGAAATGCAGAAAGACCCCAACTGACATTTTTCTGAAATCGGTTCTTTTACGTTTTAAGGTGCACTATATTAAGGCGCATCTTCCTTAAAAATTTTAGAACCTTGGATTAGAAATTAACTATCTTATGTTATATACATATTGAAGAGTACGTAGTTTACGTTCTCTCATTACCGTTTCTTGTTTCTCTTGTAAAAACAAAACATGTGTGTAGTGCACACCGTGTAGAAGTGAAACCTTCATAAAATTAAATTACAAGAGAACGAGACGAATGCGTTTGTTTGTTGTAATATTGGTACGAAGTTGATAAGTTCTTATAATTTTTCGTTTTCAATTTTTTTATTTTATTATTATTTAGACTCATGTTCAAATTTCTACACAAGAGACGAATGGCTTATGGTGACTAAAATATGAAATAAATGCTTTAGTTGAGATGACATTAATGTATCTTTGAATCACAGTATCAATGATTGTTTTCGATCGTGTTGTCAATTCGGTGTGACTGCAGGACAATTTTAAATTTAATTTGATGCCGAGGAACTCAATCGGGAGCGCTGAATCCAACGCATAATTCACATTAAAATCCCTACTTAAAATCATCGGAATTTTATTGTAGCCTTTTTTAAGGATTTGTGATACTTCTGGTGTATATTTTATTAAACTGTCATGGATGAATTCAATAATTTTATTTACTGGTTGATTGGGAGAAATATAAATTGCCACAAATATAACTGTTCTCTCATGGTCCAGTCTGCTTCCACAAGCACATATTTCTCACACCTTAGAAATTTGAACAGACATTGATTGATTGTTGTGCATTGAGTTCTATTTGTGCAGTAACAATACGATAATATGTGTTGTGGTAGATTACAAGTCTAAAGTGTTCTCATTATCCAACCCCATCTCTGAAAGAATAAGAAAATTCGACGACGATGATAAAATCATAAAGTTCTTTTTCAATTGTTTCAAGTCGAATCAGATGCAGCTAAGGCATCAAATCCCGGACCATTTTGTGATTCCCGGGATTTCGGGATCTTAAATTGGTAATCCCGGGATATTTCGGGATATTATTACCATTAATTAAAATATGCTAACAAACTAGTTTTACAGTTTTTCTTTAGTGCGAATACTAGAAAGGAAAATAAGTCTGTGTTTTTAAGAAAAGAAATATAAATATCTTTAGTTTATATCAGTTTAAAAAGCTAATTACTAACTGAATAAACTAAAAACTACGAAATTGAAATTCATTCATATTGCAGTCGAAGTCGTTTTAACAGTTAAACTTGTTTAAGTTTATTTGCATAGTAAAGACCAGTAAATTTGGGATTTAAAATTACACCATCCTAATCCTTGTTAAATTCTTTATAAAAAACATGTTCCATAAATTGGGAGTTTTTTAAGAACTATTTTTAAAATATTTTTTTTTATGACGAGGTGGTTTATTTTGCGAGAGTCAACAATGAAGCCTCTACGATGAACAGAACCCGAGATATAACAATTTGAATAAGTACATGATTATTTAGTCAGAATCACGAAAAAATCCAACTTTGATAGATCATATATCCGAAGAAAAAAGGATAAATGTGAAGCCAATCGAAATTGTGACACCAAATTTGGAGTCCGGTATGAAAAAGAATGCCTCATATGTATGTTATATATATTATAACATAGAATAAGAGTAGTATTAGAATTGTAATATATTATTTGATTATTTGTAGGGTTGCATTTTATAATTCTTTTATGCCATTACAGTGTCTGAATGTCGTTTTATTTTAATTTGTTAGTTGCCCTCGGGATCCCGGGATTTCGGGACTTCGAAAAGGGCTCGGGACTCCCGGGATTCGGGATCCCGAATCCCGGTACTAGATGCCTTAGATGCTGCCTTTCTAATTCAGCTTGCAACTCAATTGAGTAGTAAACTTGCAAACAGCGTTATGTGATTTTATAATAAAAAGCCACAAATTTGAAAAAACGACTACGACAACAAGTAACATTTAAATTGAATCATTTTTATTTTTACCTGAAAATTTGGATAAATAAGAGCCTTATAAAATTATAACATAACATACCATGACATAAGATAACATTAACAGTCTACACGACCTAAAGCAGTTTTCTAGGTTCGTCAGAAGATGGATACTTTTGAAAGTTTATAAATAAGCATGATAGCGACTTTTGGAAGAAGAGTTAACATTTTATGCTATTTTTTCAGAATATAAAAAGATTTTGCACTGTGTTGTTAGTGAGCATGAAACTACTTTAAATACTGGTACGTAATCCACCAAAAACTAAAAATCGAAAAAATTGTACATAGCGCACTTTGCAAGTGGACTACTCAATTGTGGATACTGTTGCTCTCCGACCATGATACAATTTTCTATATTATTATTATAATTTTGTTTTAACGAGATGTAACCCTCTAATCGATGTCACTCATGATAATGCGACGTACAGGAGCTGTTGAGCGTATACGAGGTCATCTCCTTGGGACTTATAAATCGTTATCGCACACGCAGAGTTCAGAGGAAAATGATCACCCTTTACCATTACTGTTTTATCAGGTACTAATGCTATAGAGCAGAGGTGAACCCGATCGAAAAAGATTGCTCTGTCTAAAGTTCTGTATTTGCGTCCTTGCCCACCGATGTAACAATTGTCCCGGTAAAGAAAGAATGAAATAACTTTTTATTAATTTTAACCAAGGCATTTTAACTTTAATAATAATTGCTCGCTGGATTAAGGCGCCTTTACACGGGTCGATTTTCTAGTAGATTTTTGTCGTTCAAACAAAATCGACCCGTGTAAATGACATCTCAACCGTAAAATGTAAATGCTTTTTTAGTCCCAAAATACAGTGATAAGAGGAGAAATGAATTGTTTTTTATATAGATAAGAAATGCACATCTACTACGAAAACTTGATTTTGACTCTCATTTTTGCAGTCCGAACCCAGCAAAGAGCGCTCGATAAAGGTCAGCTAGTGATCAGTATTGTCAAGTTTTTTATTTAAAAAAGCACCAAAACACTGAAAATAGCGCAGTTTTCCCAAAAATGAACACCAAATTTGTGTTGCTGTGTTTAAGAGTATTTTTGCATATAAAGCTGTATGTTCAAATATTTTAAGTAATCACGCAATGTCACTTGTAAATATTTTCCACTATGCGCAGTTAATTAATCTAATTTGCAAAATGTTTTTCTATTCGTAAAACAATTTGCAAAACTTTACTAGGTTTCTCTAGCGGCTTTATTTTCATGCAATTGCTTACTTTTGTACAAATGCGCACACCCAGCTAATTAGCAGAATATTCTATGAATTCCGTGATAGACACTGTGTGAAAGTATTGCGTTTGGATTATCTGGGAGTATATTATCCAGAGGAGAAGCTCGGCCAAACACTAACATATGTGTAAGTCAACGGATAAAGTTTTCCGTACGTTTGGAATGAATAAATGAATGAACAAAATAAATACAATGTCACCATAGAATCACGTTTTTATTATAAAATTGCCTTGAAAAGGGCACCAAAGAACGAAACAAGCGCTAAACTAAAAACTTTTCGCGTTTTAATTCCCTAAACGCACTTAATTTATTGCGAAAGGCACACAGTTGGCAACAGTTATAGCGATGCTAAATTTGCTCACATCCAAGCATGGACAGAGAGTGAGCGCCTGCTTAAAGAGCGTAAGCATTACTTGCGTATACATGCGAGAGCGTAACAAAGTGAACGCCAAATCATTCAAACGTAATTGGCACACTAACACAGGGGTCCCCAAATTTTTTTCACCTTGGCACCCTTGTTGTGCCAAAAAAATTTCGCGGCACCCCTACTCTTCAAATGTCTACAAAAACAAGAAAACACATTGCAAAACTTATGCTCCTTTAGCTTTTATGTAAGGACTGAAATTGTTTTGATGATTTCATTATTCCTTTAAGTTTATTGGGAGCTTTGGTAATTTTACCCTGAAATCATTTGACGCTGAAAACTTGCTGGTGTATTTGTTTTTGACCGACTTCACAAAAAGGGGAAGGTTATCAATTCGTCGGAATAGTTTTTTATTATGTTTTTTTTTTTTTAATGTACATATGTTACCGCATAACTTTGGACCACGTTAACCGATTACTATAATTCTTTATTTAAAGGAAAAGTGATACCTCACAGGCGATCCCATTCTAATTCGGTTTAAATCTGATCATTGGATCATGAATAGATTAACGATAATCTTAAATTTGTATATCGGAATTTAAGTCGGTTTGATCTTTGCTTAAAAATTACTTGTTTATGTAAGCATTTGTTGAAAATGCAGTCTAACAGAAATGTAAAAGTAAGGCCCCTATTATGAGTTGCATTCGATCTTCGAATGTGGTCGAAAGTGCTGATCGTACGAACACTCATTCGATAAAGAATAGCGCTTGTTCACAATAATATATTTTTCACCGCTGAGAAACTTTGTTTACAAATTGAGCAAACTAAATAGTGTGCTTATACATATGTACATATGTAAGTTTGTGCAAATTTAAATGAAATAAAAACGAAAGCGAGTTTATAAAAGAGTGGTAAAAATGAGTACAACGGAGTTCTGGTTCAATGAATCGTCAGAGGATAGGAGCTTGGTAAACTGGCCAGGAGTAGAAAATGTTAAAGCGGGTTTAAGTGTAGTCTTTCGAATATATTTTGGCATAAAATATACTTAAGAAATTTTTAAAAACTTCCGACTCTCTAAAGAGGCGTTTGTGAGCGCACACTTGCTCCATTTCAAACCATCGTTCTGTACAAATTTCTCGATAGCTTTAAAAATTTCGTCGGTAATGGTGTAAGTCTCAAGTACCTCGCTCATCAAAAGTTCTTCTTCGATTTGCATTGCGAATGGGTACCTCGAGAAGACTGCCTCTAAAATCGTGTTGATTCGCTCCTTCACAGTGTGATTGTGTAGTGACTACACTGTAGTCCAAAGAATAAAGCTGAAATT